GCATTCCTGGAACAGATAGGGATGTTACAGATATGGCCTTGTGGCTTTCTCCTGCAAATCAACAGCAGGAACATATGATGAGAGGGAATAATTATGCTGATGGGTATGTGGCTCTTAGAAGATCAGTGATGCCAGCTTGAGCGTGCATACGTGCACATACACATACAAGAGATGAAAAGAAACCTCTCTGTTCTTAGGGCTGATGCTAGCATATGAGTATTCAAGTTTATTTTTCACTCAGGCACAGTATCCTCCAGACCCCAACCCTAATTTAAGTTCCACCTGGACCCTGAGAAGAGAAGATGAGATGTGAACATAAAGGCTAGATTACCCAGATTCAGATCTGGCACTGCCATTTGCTGGCTTTATAGCTTTAACTTGTCTGTGTTTCAGTTTTCTCATCTTTAAAATGGGATAATATAGTACCTACCTCCTAGAGTTACCGAGATGAATAAATTGGTTGTGTAGGATTAGTGCAGTACTTACCCCATGACTGTGACTAAGCTGTATATGTATTTATTGTTGTGATTGTTCTTAATTTAAAAATTCACTGGGTACTTACTCAATGCCAGGCTTTATTCCTTATGCTGGGGATTTAGCAGTAAAGAGAAAAGATAAACACCCCGCACTCATATTGTTTAAACTTTCAGTCTAATGTGCTCAGAGACATGAACAATTAACAATATAAGTAAATAAATGAATAATGTCAAATAAAGATAACTGATTTATAGACTATGAGATAGTTTGAATGGATGTGGAGATCTGGTTTAGCCACAGTGGTCAGAATCAAACTGTCTTCGGAGGTAACATTGAAGCTGACACTGAACATCCAGAAGGAGAGAGCACCTTAGTGGAAAGGGCTGGATGACTTTCCCAGGCAGGGGAAGGAGCAGAGGCTGGAGCTAAAGAGTGATGATGAGCTGGTCATGGTTTGTCTGCTGAAGCAGTTGCTGACCTTCATGGTTGGAATGCAGTAGATATGAGAGGGATATGTCAGAAGCGGTCAGTGAGGCCAGGTCCTTGGCATGTTGACTATTCTAAGTACAAAAGACTGCATCCATGGGACCAGCAGTTAGCATAATGGCTATGTTGCTGGACTCCCATGTAGTCTTCCGTGATTTGAGTCCCAGACTCTGTGGCTGAAAATCATGCCGGGCACATGTGCGTGTGTGC